TTAGTTTCTCATGGTTTGAAAGTGGTGCGGGATTTCGTCCATCCACAGTATGGGGAGATTGTGAAGTTGAGGAAATTGCTGTGGAAAGGTCGGGAGTTGCACTTGGCAATCCTCATACTCCATTCTCGACCAGGGCTCCAAAAATGGAAGCGTGACACCCATGTTGAAGTAATGTTCACTCTCTTGTCATGAAGGATGAGCGAACCCCTTCATTAGCAGGAACCATGATGGGCTTGTTTGGCAAAGCATGGATATAATTTTCCACGTGACTGCAATTATTAAGCTATCAAGTGGATGATTCGTCGTTAGCAAAATGTTTGCTCGCTTCCACATTGCCTTTGACGCTCAGTCAGAAGGCCCTGCTAGGCGACGAAAAGCCCAAATACCTATCAGACACTTCGCAGTGGTGGTGCAACAAAGACAGAAACAACGCTGCCTTTGCGCCAAATGATTTCCTTCGACCGGTTTTGGGGGCAACGCTTGGCAGTTCTGCTTGGCATTAGAACCCAGGTATACGCATGTTCAACAAACACGTTGAACACGGAAGCAAGATGAAGCAAGTAGTGAATGTTGACCCTGTGATTGACCCGGTTGATTTTTATTGGTGGTGGGAGTCAACTGCAGAGGGAATCTGGGTCAATTTCTGCGAACGTGCCCCTTATTGTTTCAGGTTGATACTGCAGGAGTATCGCCGATAACGCCTGTAGAAGAAATTACGTTTGACCATGTTGGGTTTGGAACCAAAAGTCGATGGGTTTCTAGCTGCTTATTTGCATATTTGTTGATTTGACACCTCTGGCTTGCGGACACTGCTGGTCCAGACCCATTGATTGCCAGACCCCCAACTTTCACGATCCGGCTTTGGGCTCGCTGTACGTGGGGGGTGTCGTGGTTGAAGAGTACCTTGTCCGAGCGGGTGTTTGAAAGGGAAACCAAACATAAACTGTCCTTGTCCGAGCGGGTGTTTGAAAGAGAAACCAAACATAAACTGTCCTTTCTTGAGACCATCCCATCTGAACCTTCATTACCATCTTGGGTTGAGTATCCAACCGTCAGCTCGGATTTGTGTTCCCGCTACTTTGAAAATGCTGTTATCTCGAAATAGCGTACCCTTTGTAGTTCCCTTTCAACACCTGTAACGAGAGCGCTACACATAAATGTCCTAGGTGTGAACACTCAAAATGCAAAGCATAATCTGAGTGTCGGCATCTGAGGAAAGTGACTCTCACCTACAACAACGCGCCCCCGCTTCTTATTAGCGTGGCCTCGGGGCTGGAGGGGCGGCTGCAGAGCTTCCTGGATAAGGAGGCGCGGACATGATCTTCACTGTTGTTGGCATGTGTTTAGTTTGTTTGGTTTTTTGCTTCGGTTCATTTTTGATAGGAGGCTGCAAAAAGCAAAGTATTTGTTACCATGGCAAGGAATGGAAAGTTATCCTAACGGTGACGACTTGCCGGTCACCCTTGGAGGAAATCCGCCTCAAATTGGTTGGTATGATCCAGGGAATGACATAACTGGCTAATGTGTCGAAATAGAGCACCTCCAAGCCAAATGTGGCTTTGCCTGTGATTTCCCTTTGAACCAACGCAAAGCAGTGTACCCTTCAAAAACAGGCAAGCCTCTGAGGCACTTTTCGTGGCTTCCTGTTGCTTCCTGATGGATTCCCCCCGAAAAGGGAATCTTCAAGAGACAACCCCTGCCCAAGCAAGGTACCAAGAGAAACAGACTCTGTGCACAGGTTCAGCTACTCAGTTGCCCAGTGGAATTCGGCTGTTTGTTTCCTTTTTTAATGTGAGTTGGCTTCTGGGGTGATGTTCAAAGGGGACCTATATTTTTTTGGAGTTGGGATTTTCAATTCAATGCTCTGTTACCTACTGAAATTCATAACCATATGCCTCTGTGATACCACCATGGGTGCTTCTGCGACTGGGTCACAATCAGGCGGGCCTTCTCCGCAGCGCTTGGAGAATGGTTCGGGGTTCAACACAAATTCCAAGTGACCAAAGCCAAGCGGGGGAGTACCATCCCAGAAGCCGGTGACAGGGAGGCCACAGTGAGCCTTGTGAACATCTCCATCCTCAAGAGGCGACCTCCCTCAACCAAAAAGGATTCCAAAAGGAGCCCTATTCGCCCCCAAAAACGGCCTGAAATTTGGGCTTGCGCGCTTCCATAGGGGCCCTAACACAACTATTGCCGGTGAAGTGGTTCTGGGCGGTTTGGATGCCCCCCCCCCTCTCGGAGGGGATGTTGGTGGTTTGGTTGCGGGGTTCTAACGAAGCGTCGCAGGTCTTCCCTCACTTCGAGCCCTTGTGGGTCCGCCTGGACGGTCTCGACTCAGCGCCGGACGGGTCCTCCAAGAAGCAGTACGCCTCACGGATGCTCGACCGGCTCACGCAGGCTGCGCCTCGGCGATGCTTCCAAGCCCGTTTTGGAGGCTGGGGACGGTTCCCGATTTGGGGGTTTCACGGTTAGAACCACCCAGGGTGCGAACATGGGGTCCCGTGTTTTGCCAGGCTACCCTTTTGCCCCTGAGCCGCTATGGCATAATATGCCCAATGCGAAAGGAAGGCAACCAGCCCTTCAAACTTCCCTCACTTCCGGTTCTGGGGCTCAAGAGCCCAGGACCCAAGCCAACATCAATAAGGCCGCACCGATTTGGGTGTGTCTTACTTTTAGGGGACCCCAACAAATTGGTTTCCCTTTGGTTTCCCTTTGCTTTCCCTTTCAAACACCCAAAGCGGGGTACCCTCAAGAAAGACACCCATGTACGGTGGGACTGTCCCTTGCTAACCTTCACCTAGCCAAGTTTTGATTGCGGTCACTTTGCTTGGAACATGTGAGCTGTGTTGTGCGGGATGGTGTTTGTCTCTGCTCCAGGGATAAGCCCAAAACGGAAGTTTATTGGGTTTGTCCTTTCAAACAACCTTACAAAGGGTACCATTTCAAAGAAATGAGCTGAACAAATGGGTGCTTTCCAGCTAGTTTCCCAAACTCCTCTGCAAATTCAGATGTAACCTGGTTGTTCTTAGTTAGATAGGGAAGCCTTCAACACGGGCGGCTTCCATTTTGATTCTCTTTCAATTGGTTCCCCAAATGGATACCTGAACCACACTTCCATTTGAGGTGAAAGCATTCCTGGTACGCTCTGCCGACGAAAAAGAGAATGGCCTGACCGCGGTCACGTGAGACGGGTCAGGTTTCAGGAGGGTTGTTTACTGGCCTGGCTGAACAGCATCGCTGTCCTTGCTATGGGTTTTAGTATGAGTTAGTCTTAGTTGGTTGCTTCTTGAGTTGTTGAATGTATGGTCTGCCACGTGTTTTTCCAAAACCGGGGGCCAAAGGACAACCCTGACGCCCCTGCTGAAGGCTTGCAAGGCATGTGCTTCGCTCATAGGTCTCGAATGAGACGGCTGGATGGGCCCAGGGAAGGTCAAAAAAAGATCTGGTAGTTGAGTGGCACCTTTTTTTGTGCATAGTCACAAACCAACGTCAACAGAAGCCTCCGGTTCGGCCACGTTGAGCCCTCCGCACGTCGAATGTCTTCGACATTTCTGCGTGTCGCGGAAAAGGTGGAAAGCCGGATCAAGACCAGGGTTGATTGCGTTTGCTCTACTTGGGTGAACCTTGACTTGAGAACAGGTTGCAGCAGGTTTCCCTAGTTTCACCGTCAATTTGGGTGTTTTGGGCCAACTCAATGTGAGTTGTTTGTTGCTGGCATATTCAACATCTCCCAAAAGCCGCCCACAACGGGTTGGTAGCTTAGGGCTAGGACATTTGCTAGCGCACTTACTTCCGGGGTTCCTGGACTTTACATTGTAGACTTTTTGGAAAGTCCATTTGAGTAGCTTGTTTTCGGGACTGGTTTTTGGCCAATCCACTCGTGGGTGAAGGTAGCACATCATGAGAGTCTACAAGTAGACTGCAAGTTGAAGGGCCCAAGCTGGCAGTTAGGAAAAACGTGAATCCTGCTCCATCCCAGGATTCGCCTAGCCACCCTCAACCCAACATCTCCGAGTTGTTCAGTGCCGTGTAGATCCCTTTGGTTTTGTGAGGCAACCACCGAACATGCCCAGAGAAAGTGGGCGGGTTTCCTCGGCGACTTCTGGGGTGCAGCCCCTTTCTGGCTCCAAAGAAGTCCCGACTTGCCCAAAACCGCAGGCGCCGCACGCTTCTGGCGCCGGCACCTTCCGAGCGGAAAGATGACACACGGGCGTCCGAGGCGCGGTGAATCGGAGGGCAGGGTAAGATGTGTGTCAAAATAGGGGGTCCTTAAAATGGGGGATCGTGTTGAATTGTCAAAATGGGACTCCTCCAAGAAGCACACACCCCATAAGGTCCGAGTTGCCTGAAATGGAAACAACCCCAAGCCACGTATGGCCGTGTACCCTTTGTCCAACAACCATGGAAGCTGACAGAAAGGCTTCAGAAGGCTGCAGTCCTCTTGAAAGGCCCTTTGTCCACGTCTATGGTTCTTGAAAAGAGGGTATATGTCATATCATATATATATATATATGGTATACCTTTTGTAAGCGAGATGTTTTGGGTAGGTCCATTTGGAGTATGTATGTACGACCTCAAGTTGGCAAAACGGAGAGATCAATATCGGTCTTTATTCAACCTGACCCCGGTACCCCTTTAAAGGGGAACCCAAAGAAGGCTGTTTAAACAATAGGTGTTAAAACCTGTTCGGGGGGTGCAGAAGTTCCGGCTGTGGAACTTCTGTGGCCCATGATCTTGCCAAGTTATTATTGTTCACTTGCACCAAAGATGTCACAGGAAGAGATGGGTATGTCTAAGTCACACCTCAAAAACTGCGCCTTTGGGGTTCCTTCTGGCTTCGTGTTTGGCCAAACCTCAAGTGTGGAAACATGGTTCGAACTGTTGTGGTTCCCTTTGGCTGTCAGTAGGCTACCCTGGAAATTTCAATGGCCCCTCTGGAATCGGGTAGTGTCCTTTGCCTAAAATGTCCAGCCCGTGCCCAATTGTAAGCCATGGCAAATGTGATGAGGGGTGAAGAGCATCCTCTTTAAGGCACATTGAAACTCGGCAAAGGTGTGGGACCAGGATTCCTTTCGATGCACACTTTGGGGGGGCAACACCAGTTGGCGTAGGTGTTCTATCAAACAGCACAGATTTGTTACTCACGGGCGCTATGGCACTCACTGTCGCTTCAAGAGGTCCATCGAAAGACAATTCCTAATAAAAGGTCAGCTTTTTAGGTTGAAGTTGTCCCAGACTGTATCAAGTCCTGCAGTCTTCATGACCCAACAATCGGGCCATATATCCAAGGGGCGCATGAGCTCATTTGTGGGCCATTGAGCGCCGCCCAAGACCCCATCTGCATTGTAGCAGGGGGTTGTATTACCAATGTTGCTAGAATCCCAGAAACCACGGACATCTACAACAAGCATCAAAGGAAGATCTGGAGGAGTTCGGAGCACCTAGCCATGTGGGTGGGTAGAGTCTAAAACTTTTTGGGAAGGCCATTTTATGGTAGATCTAAAGTTTGGTTGCTTCTTTTGGGTCATCTCAGCAAAGGAGATGCCCTTCACCTGGGTCCTCTCGAGTTCCGATTTTTCTTCGAGCCAGGGCCTGGAGCTGAAGCTGGCAGACTTCGCCGGGCATCCAATCCGAAGATTGGGGCGGGTTGGGCGCCGAAGATGTGACGGGGTCGTTTCTTAAGGAGTTTCTTTACGTTTTGGGGTGGAATGCCGTCCGAAACATGGAGAAAAACATGTTTTGGGGCAGGCCAAAATAGAAAGAAGCGGGACATAGTGTTTGGTGTACCCCAAATATGAGTCAACTTGCACGATTTGTAGCTGAACTGCGACAAAAAGGGGTGGACTGCGGTGGACTTGTCTATCCTAAACACAACTAAAGTGCTCTTTGATCCTTTGTGAAGTCCCAGCCTGCACAAAGTGTTGCAACGGTGTCCTGTTGGCCTTGCCGCAAGGTGTCGCAACGGCGTCCTTTTGTCTTCCTCTCAGACCGCAAGAAGTAGACTCACAAAAGGCACTGAAGTGGCGCTTTTGGTGATCTCCTCTGGTTGCTTTCAAAGGTAAATTTGGTGACTGGTGAGTTTTCTGCTTGGTGATTTCTTCTGCTTGCCTGTCATGCCTGGGAGCATGTCTCATCTTAGGTGATGTTTTCATGTTCCCCTTGTTGTTCGAAACAGTCATGAGTGGTGAATATCATTTGTTAGTGGGCCCAGAACTGCAAATCGCAGTGATTTCCTCAGCGTGTATCGGCCAAGTTGCTTGCTTGCTCAGAGCAAGGAATATGGAACTTCACCTTGCGATCATGACAATCAAGAGCCCAGTAGGTGGTTGGTACTCGGTCATGTCTACGTTCCCTAAGAGCAAGCTTTGGCATGGCCTCAAATGTTTACCATTGTAAAGAAAGCCCAGAAATAGATTTCAACAATGACACTCCAGGACTCCAGGATCCTAAGCTTCGCTCAAAATGAGATCCGGACAACGAGCCAAGACGAGCTGATTGATGGGGATGTCCATGGTGTCTGTCAACATGAAACCGTTTCAGATTTCAAAGAAATACGAGGCAAACATACTTACCATATCATATCGCACTCCCTGAGATCGTTGTACCAAGTGACATATATCTTGACAACTCGACAGCTCTTTCACCATGGCAGGCGCCACCCTTTGGAAAATACCCGGGCCCCAAGTATCCCCAGTGGCCGTTCCCGAACGTGGAACACCCACTTGCCCGCCTCTTGTTTTGCTCTGTACATTGAGTTATGAACTCAGTAAATTAAATAAATTGCTACCCATCTACCCATCTAATAGTTTGGTAGTAGAAACCAGGGAAGCAACCCTCAAAAAGCTCCAAATTCTTCGTGGAACCCTCCCCCCGGAAATCAAGGGTGAATGCACGCGGAAAGGCCGGACACACCCTTTGTACAGGGGTCTCGTCACTTCGGCGCTCCTTGGAGCAACTGAAACTAGAATCAAAGCTTAACCAAAGGGCTGAAGAGATGAAATCAAATGGTGAAAGGCGGGGCAACTTCAATTACCCAGGAAGTTTATATGGAACCAAAAAGGGACTTGTTCAAAAGGAGCTTCCTCTAACATCGTGTTTTGTGATTTCCATGTGAATGCGGTGTTTCTCAGGGCTCCGCCGTTTCCAACGGACCCTGTTCCGTGCTTCGGCCGGGAACCGCCGCAAAGCTGAGGTGGGTCAGTGGCCCCAGGCGAGGGTTTGTGGGCCCTGAGTTCCGATCTTAGGTCCCCCAGTAGTGCCCTTTCCCTTTTATCCTTTTTTGGGGGAGGGTTCCCCTACTAATTAAAATAGTCAAAAGAGGAAAAAAAGGTACCCTTATTCTAACCTCTCTACTGGAAGACCTAGCCTTTTAAATTCAAGCGCCCCAAAAAAGGCTTGAAAGTCTGCGGTTCTCTTTTCGATGTGTGTTTCCCTTATTCAAAGGACAAAGGATGACTGGATGTCCTCACCGTTCTCGGTGTGTGCTTCTTTGGCTCGGGCGTCAATGTTAGTGGGGGGGATGTAGCAATGAGCAGAGCTGTTTGATGATATATCAGGTAGGGGTTGGGGAGTTGCATGTTGAATCCCTTTTTTTATTAGGCTGGCTTTGTCTTGTAACGTGGCTGTAGGCTGTATCTCGAAGGGGCAAGCAAGGCTTCAAGACTTCAAGACACACGTGTCTTGTGCACATGCGCTGTTTCAGGTTTCCCAATATGATTTGCCCTGTTGCTGGGTGAACAATCATCACAGTTTTGGCCAATTCAAAGTGTGAGACCTTCCGTTGCTGTGATCTTCAGAGGGAATGTACGGGGAAGAAGGCAACGTCTTCATGCTCAACAAGCCCGGATTTCACGGGAAGGGTAGATTTTGAGTCTGGCTCAGCAAGCATATCAGATGAAGTACCTTCAGACTGGGGGTCGTGCTTGGAGGAAAGAAACCTTGAAGAAGCCCAAAACAAGCCCAAACTGGGGGTGGGAGGAGGTTGGTTTCTGATATTTCAAAGGTTGCAAAACCCATCGCCATTGGTTCTTCCAGTTGCACATGCTGGATTGGACTACGTTATCAGTTTGTTGGAGCTCTACTTGATGTGAATTCCATGTGTCTCGCAAAAAATGTCCACAGCCATGCCTCCATCCGCAAAAGAGACTGGCCTGAAACTTGTGCAACACAACCAGTCATCCAGGTGTTCCCCGCACCGGCCCCTTTGCGGAGACGATACCGTTCCTTTTGGACAATGGCTTCTGTGCAGTCCAGCTGTTCAGTGGCACCCGCCATGTGGATCGCTTTTTCCCCAGCTGAAAGCCATGAGGTCGATAGGCCCAAGCTCCGGAGTGGTTTGGAGTGAAGCTTCTTGCAGTTCCATAGAGCGCTTGGATCGGCTTTTGAGACTGGGGCTACGGAGCGGGTTGGATATTCCGGAGGGCTCCAGTCCGTGGGGTTTAGAGTGGTTCGGAGCCTAGGTCAACCCCGAAGGGTTCCGGCTGTGGGATACAGGGTTCCGTGCTTGGTGTGTTCCCCACTAAAAGTGGTCCTGGCGTTTGTCACTGGGGAATCGGATCGGGGTTTCACAAGCTTCAACCCTGCCGGCCGGCAGGGCTTGATTTGAAGAACCTTCTCCTGGTTTCCCTTCTAAAGATACCAGGGGTTTGTTGACGCACGTTTTGCCCAACACCTGAGTGAGCCAACAACAGGCCAGCCCTGAAGAGCTTCGGGTCGTTTGGGGTTTGCCGTTGGACGCCGTTTAGGGAACTGCAGCGGGTCCCTTTGTGGTCCTAAAAGGGACAAAATCCCCTGCCGTTGTCCTTAGAAGGGTCCCGTTCTTTTGGCAACGTCCGTCTGATGCTGGACATGGCAAAGTAGAAAGACCCATCGTATCACGATGCATCTTTGCAGTCCAGCAAGTATTCTGCCCTATTTTACAGCGAGCTCACCGGGACCGGGGGTAAAACAAGACTTTGCTTGGGTTCAGGTGTTTTTGTTGTATTTTCAGATGTGTTTACCTGCTCCATTGGGGTCCAAAAACTTGCATCCCCAATTTCTAGACGGAACTGTCGGGCAAAACCAGCTCGAGCAACAATTCTGGAACTTGGTTGCAACGTGTGATCCATGGAAGGTTGGGAGATCCCTGGGACGAAAGGGAAACCAGCATCCTGCCAATGGAGGGGTCAAGCAAAACTCATACCCATGATATGTGCCACAAAGCAGCCTTTCACTTGAACTTGGAAAGAAAGGTAGACCCTGAGTGGGGATTTTGGACAACTGTGGGTTCAAAAAAAATAGTGGTCCCCCGAATTCCGAATGGTTGGTTTCCTTTTCGTTCCCTTTCTTCGAACCCGAAGGGCAAAAGACAGGCTCGTGTAAGGCTTTCTCATAAGGGCACAAGGGCCCTCTCCCAGAACTTCAGCGGTGGCCCTGGATGTGGTTCTTTGGTGAACCCAAAACTGACCGCTCTCCTTCCTTACCAGCGTAGCATTTGTGGGGTACAGGGGGAGGGATGGTACACCTTTTGGTGTCTCACTATTAACTGGCGATTGTTTCTTCAAGTTAGACTTGCTTCTTGACTATGAATAAACAACACACACACACACACCGCAGGGGAATGTACGGAAGTGGGAGGCGTACCGGGCATTCGACTGAATAACTCTACTAGTGATCATTTGAAGCATTTACTGGAGGTACTGGATGTGATAAAGAAATCCGAGCAGGGTTCTGGGATATTTTCTGTGATATCCTTCTACTGCTTGACCAAGTTTGCACAAGGGTCGGAAGTCTTTCCTGGTACACCATCTAAGCTCGTTTCCACTGCAGACAAAATTTGACTTCCCTCGGTGAAGTTAGGTGACACGAGTCACTGACAGTATTATTCGCAGTGGTTAGACTAGGGAACATGCGGCACTGTTTTGTTTGGCAGAAAGTGACTGTATGTATGTGCTGTGAGCAAGTCATGTGCAACGCCATGAAAATGGAATCATTGCAAGGCACAGCCGGGCCAGTGGCAAGCTTCGCACATGAACCAGGCTGGGATGCTCGTGGTCATTGTCGCATGTCCCTTGCAAGCCTGTGTTCCTTAGACACATGCACGCCCTATATTTGAACGCCTCCGGCTCAGGCCGCCGACATTACAGGCCTGCTTTCTTATTTGCGTCCCTTTGGAATTGTCCCCTTGCCCCCCTTCCCCTCCAAGATCTTTGCCCCCCGTTCCCTGTTGAGATCCTCCCTAAGGCCTTTTCCCCCCCTGAGATCTCCCTTTTCCTCCCTACGATCTTTTCCCCCGTTTCCCCCCTAAGGCCTTTTCCCCCCAAGATCTTCTCCCTTCTCCTCCCTAAGATCTTTCCCCCCCTTTCCCTGTTGAGATGCCTTCAAGGCCTTTTCAGATCTTCTCCCTTTTCCTCCCTTTTCCCCCCTTTCCCGATTGAGATCCTTTCCTTTTCCCACCCTGAGATCTTCTCCCTTTTCCTCCCAAAGATCTTTTCCCCCCTTTCCCCCCAAAGGCTATTTTTCCCCAGATCTTCTCCCTGTCCTTCCCTGTTCAGATCCTTTCCCCCCTTTCCCCCCTAAGGCCTTTCCCCCTTTTCCTGCCTAAGATCCTTTGCCCCCTTTCCCTGTTGAGATCCTTTCCCCCCTTCCCCCTAAGGCCTTTCCAGATCTTCTCCCTTTTCCTCGCTAAGATCTTTTCCCCCCTTTCCCTGTTGAGATCCTTCCCACCCTTTCCCCCCTAAGGCCTTTCCCCCCCCTGAGAGCTTCTCCCCTTGCCTCCCTAAGTTCTTTTCCCCCCTTTCCCTGTTGGCCTTTTTTCCCCCAGATCTTCTCTCTTTCCTCCCTAAGATCTTTTCCACCCCTTTCCCTGTTGAGATCATTTCTCCCCTTTCCCCCCTTTCCTCCCTAAGATCTTTCCCCCCCTCCCCCTTTGCCCCCTAAGGCCTTTCCCCCCCTGAGATCTTCTCCCTTTTCCTCCCTAAGATTTTTTGCCCTTTCCTCCTAGGCCTTTTTTTGCCCCCCGAGATCTTCTCCCTTTTCCTTCCTTTTCCCCCCTTTCCCTGTTGAGATCCTTCCCCCGCTTTCCCTCCTGAGGCCTTTGTCCCCCAAGATCTTTCCCTTCCCCCCCCCCCCACCCCACTTCTCCCCAGTTCCCCCCCTAAAATCCGAAGATCTTCATTTCCCTTCACTTTCCTTCACTTCGGTTCATGTCCCTTTATGTCTGTTTTTGTTCCCTTTCTTTCCTTTCACTTCATGTCATTCATTTCCATGCATTTTCCTTCATTTCCAGATGTTCCTTCACCAGCATGGGCAACATCCCCAGCACCACTTGCATCATCCGCATCCTTCGCAGGCGCTGATGCGGATGATGCAGGTGATGCTGGCGAGGTGCTGAGGATGCAAAAACGGACCCGGAGGGAATCGACCACCCCAATGTTTTTAGTGGAACTTCTTGAAATCACCGGGTGGTACGTGGACCCCCCCCAAGGGGCATTTCTTATGTCCAACACGCCGCCTGTTGTCGGCGGATATGGGTATGATTTTTAATTAGGGACTCTTTGGTGGACATCATTTAGCTGGGGATGAATGTCCACCAATCACTTTTCAGGGGGTTCCCCATTTAAATTCATAGCCATACATATACATATATATATATATACAGGCGTATCTAAAAGCGGCCACAAATTTCACATTGTTGCTTGCAACTCATGCTTGGCGAGCAGTGTAAGGCTGTCCAGCACGGCCAATATCCAGCTGAAGTGAAGAAGGCTGGGGTGCTGACCCACTTTGAGTCGATAGCACTTGCTTGAATCATGGTGTACAACCTATGCTATGTAATGCTATTACCTGGGAACAAGCCACTGGGTCTGGCTACCATTTGCCGATGGATATGCAGCGTGCCGGTGGATTGCAGCGCAGTGCTACTGAGACAGCGCAAGGCGAAGGCAGGGCAGCGGAAAGCTTCGCAAAAGAATCAGGCTGGATTGCAGGCGCGTGGCATAATTTAGTGCCTTGAGCCAAGCTATTCAACACATGCTTTTCACATGTTTGTGGTCACGAGTCACTTGGAGCAGCTGTGTTGTATGTTGCTAGGTGTGCATGAAAAACACAACACAAACCAGACCCTGTGAGGAAAGGGAAGGCTGACTTGTCGTTGGTTTTTCTCTCAAGACCCATTCACATGTTGATAATCCCACAATCTGACCTGCAACTCCGGCGGGCGCGTACCCGCACACAAGTGCAAGCAGGGCCAGTATCAAGCTGCTAGCGGAAAGAAGGCTGGGGCGCTGACCAATGTCATCGCCGACACTATTTAGATTGGTATGTGCCGCTACATATTGTAGAGGTTGTGAGGTGTGTTTGCGTCAAGATCAGTTGATTGAAGCATGCTGTGCAGCAATGACTGTTGTGTGGCGGAAGGTAGCTGTATGTGCATCTTGTGTGCAAGTCTTTCACATCATCGCACACAAATAGCACAGGCTGGCCTACAGCAAGCTTCGCACACAACGGGTCAGCTGAACCAGGCTGGGATTCATTGTCACATGTCGATTGCAAGCCTGGTTTTTGGAGAGACCATGTTTAATATTAGAACAGAAGTGTCGTTCTTGAGTTTGCTCACGCGGAGAAGCAGTATTCGGCAAAGGGTAGCACAAAGGGATATGCAGTGCTCAAGTCCTGTGCAACGCAGCGCTACGGGAACGTGTCAAGGCGAAGCCGGGCAATTGGCAAGCCTCTCACATGCAGAAGGGTGGGCTCCTTGCCATGGCTGGTTCAGGTGGGATCTCTTTGACATTATGTCACAGGTGGATTACCTTTTTGGTTTTCCTCTGTTGTCCAATCTAAGCAGAAGTCAAGCAAGCTTTTTGCAGGGGCTCCACGTTGGGCTTAAAAATCTAACACTCGCACACTGAGCTGCAAGCAGTGCAAGGCTTCCCAGCAGGAGGGGCAGTATCAAGCTTCTGACCCGAAGCAGGCTGGGGCGCTGACCAATGTTGTCTATCGCCGACGGTTGCCAACTGATTTGCAATTTGCCTCTAAATAGTTTCGAGTTTGTGAGGTGTGTGTGTGTGAGTCAGCAGCAGTTGAGTGAAACATGCAGTGCAGCAACGACGGTTGTGTGGCAGACGGTAGCTGTATCGGTATGTTGTGTGCAAGTCTCTTACACCATTGCACACATATTGCAAGGCGCAATGGCAAGCTTCGCAAATGACGCGTCCGCTGAACCAGGCTGGGATGCATTGTCACAGGACGCTTGCAAGCAGACCATGTTTAATTTAAGGGCTGCCGCCCATTGCCGCCGACCCCTGGATTTAGTTGTGGTTTTGGAGCCACAAAAAACAGTGTCTACGGCACCTTGCCACTGTGCGTCGGCATGCCCGTAGCTGCCACAGACCACTTGGATCGAGAGAGGGGCGTGTTGCGTGGATGTTCCGGACGAGTTTGCGGCTGGACGCACGACAGCCCGAACGCCGAGCCCAGCAAACAAGATGGAGAAGTCCGCTTCTGGACGAAATTGCCTACGGCAGTGCGCGTGCAATTCAAAACCAAGCGAAAGTGGCGCGTGAAGGGCATGGGAGACGACTGCATCCTTCCAGTGGCGCCGGTTCGCAGCGCCTGGCACTTAGATCATCGTCGAAAATACCCGAAGCTCAAGGTTTCGCGGAGACAGCTCCCGCTGTGTCCGTACTTTGCGATCACCGCTCATGCAGCGCAAGGCCTAACCATGCGTGAAGGAGCCGTTGCCGACATCGCGATACAACCTGGCGACGATCCCTTGACTTGCTACGTCGCCGTGACGCGCGTGGAAGGGCGAGAACGCCTGCTCATATTTCGCCCCTTTGCTCTGGCGCCTTTCCAACGCGAAGACGACGTGGGGCGAAACCTATTGCTCCGAGTATGGAGAGGAGAAGCGATAGACTGGGAGAGGATCCGACAAGAGTACATCATCGAGAAGCCGTGCAGCGAGTGCCGGGAACGCAAGGAGCCACGTGGTTACACGGCGGGGCAGTGGAAGCGCGAGGATACGCGCTGCGTCTGTAAGGAATGCATTGGCAGGCACGAGCAGGCCGGTCATCCCTGGCAATGTCGCCAGTGCATGTGTTGGCTGCCCACGAGTGCCTTCCACGCGAAATGGCACAAACCCCGCACTGCACTCCTGCGTGTGCGCTCAAACTGCAAAGAAACAAAAACCTGCTACAACTGCAAAGAAAAAAAGAAGAAGCCGAATATAGCGCAGCAGCTTGGCGCACGAAACAGGCGGAGAGGCAAACATGCAAGGTGTGCAGTCAAAGGCGACGAGGCTTCTGGAAGTGCGCGCACTGCGGGCTCGCGCGACCGCAGGCATGCTTCGCGAGGTACACACGACGAAGCCATGGGGCCAAGGGGCACGGCAAGCAAACGTGCGACGCGTGCGCCACGGAGCAAGACCTACAGAACATTGCGTGCAGGAGCAAGATGCGACTTGGAAGAACGCGCGCCAAGCGAAAGAAGAAAATCCTTGCGGAGGTGTGGCGTCTCGTGGCAGCGATGCGCAATAAAGGTGCTGGTGCCAGAGAAATCCACGCTGAGGACTAAAGCCTGGCCGCGCGTTCTGGCCGCGTGTTCGTCTGACATCCTGTTTGCGAGACTAGAGCCAGGCCGGCGTTCTGGCCGCGCGTGCGTGTGGCATCGCAGCATCCTCTGCATCGCCAAGGCTGCCTAATGAGAGATGATGTTGACCATGATGATAAGGATGCTGATGATGATGACTGTGAGGATAACTATCAGCGCAGCAACCTCTGCATCGCCAATGCTGTCTAACGTTCCTTTGGAAATGTTTATGAGACCCCCCCCGCAAAAAAAAAAAAAAAGGCAAGCCGGGCGGCCTCGACGGCACTCACGGTGGCCCTAACAACGCTTATGGCCACCATGATTATGATGATGATGATTCTGATGATGAGGTTGATTATTATCATGATGATGACATTGATGACGATGGTGACGAGGACGATGACTGTGATGACACGATGGAATTGATTACGATTATGAAAAGGATGCTGCAGAAACCAATGATGTTGACATCAAATTGGCTGATAATCATCATGACGCATCCAAAGCATCAGACCCCTTTCAAAACTGGCGTTAGGCACCCTTGCTAATGCAGAGGATGCTACGATGATAGTTATCATAACAGTCATCCGCAGCTTTGGTAATGCAGAGGATGCTACGATGACTAATGAGAGATGATGATGACCGTGATGATAATCATGACAAGGATGAGGACTGTGATGATAACTATCATTGTAGCATCCTCGGCATCACCAGTGCCGGCTATTAAGAGACGATGATGACCATGATGATTACGATGACAAAGATGAGGGCTGTGATGATATATATATATATATCATCGTAGCATCCTCGGCATCATCAGTGCCGGCTAACAAGAGATGATGATGACCATGATGATAGTGATGATAAGGATGAGGACTGTGATGATAACTATCATCGTAGCATCCTCTGCATTGCCAATGGGGTCTAACGTTACTTTTGAAATGCATATAAGAATAAGAACAATAATGAGATGATGATGAGCATCATGATGATGATGAGAAGAGCGATGACATCATAATCAGGATGATCATGATGATGATTATGATGATAACTATCATCGTAACACCCTTTGCATCACCAGTGCTGCCTAATAAGAGATGATGATGACCGTGATGATAATGATGACAAGGATGAGGACTGTGATGATAGCTATCATCGTAGCATCCTCGGCATCACCAGTGCCGGCTACTAAGAGACGATGATGACCATGATGATTACGATGGCAAAGATGAGGGCTGTGATGATTTATATCATCGTAGCATCCTCGGCATCACCAGTGCCGGCTAACAAGAGAAGATGATGACCATGATGATAGTGATGATAAGGATGAGGACTGTGATGATAACTATCATCGTAGCATCCTCTGCATTGCCAATGGGGTCTAACGTTACTTTTGAAATGCGTATAAGAATAAGAACAAGAATGAGATGATGATGATCATCATGATGATGATGAGAAGAGCGATGACATCATAATAAGGATGATCATGATGATGACTATGATGATAACTATCATCGTAACACCCTTTGCATCACCAGTGCTGCCTAATAAGAGATGGTGATGACCGTGATGATACTGATGACAAGGATGAGGACTGTGATGATAACTATCATCGTAGCCTCCTCGGCATCACCAGTGCCGGCTACTAAGAGACGATGATCCTCGGCATCACCAGTGCCAGCTAATAAGAGATGATGTGTGATGATAACTATCATCGTAGCATCCTCGGCATCACCAGCGCCGGCTAATAAGAGATGATGATGACCTGATGCTAGTGATGATAAGGATGAGGACTGTGATCATAACTATCGTTGTAGCATCCTCTGCATTGCCAATGGTGTGTAACGTAGCATCCTCGGCATCACCAGGGCGGCCCGAGACTTACCCCACGGGCCCAGTATCCCTAGCACTCCTTGTGCCGAAAAGTAAGGGGCTCATTTTTTGAGATAGCGCCCCCTGCGCCCAAGCCTAAATGAGTCCCCTGTGTGGAGAACCAGAATGAGATGATGATGAGCATCATGATGATGATGAGAAGAGCGATGACATCATAATAAGGATGATCATGATGATGATAACTATCATCGTAACACCCTTTGTGTGGTTGTCACCAGAGTTTCATATGATTTCATTGAGGGATTTGCTCAAGCTGGAGCCAAGAGATGTCATGATAACTATCATCGTAGCATCCTCTGCATTACCAAGGGTGCCTAACGCCACATTTGACATGTATATAGAAGAAAGATAGAAGAAACATCAGCAGAGCCCTGTCGAGCCTTAAATATGTAAACTGGTTTCGATAGACAAAAGATACTGAGCTGCTTTTTGGAAGCCAGTGCCGCACTTCTTGGCCAAGTGCAAGTTTGCATCCTTGTGGCGCATCGGCTGAGCTCTGAGCTCCAAGGTTTTTCTGACCGGTTTCCAGAAAGAATTGTCCTGGAAGTAAAGCCTGGGTGAGTCGGGTGCCAAACCATTAGTTCGCAAGAGTTGTTCGCATCGTCCCTGCGCTTGTCGACATCGTAGCATCCTCTGCATTACCAAAGCTGCGGATGACTGTCATGATAACTATCATCGTAGCATCCTCTGCATTACCAAGGATGCCTAACGCCACATGTGATATGTATATAGAAGAAAGATAGAAGAATAGAAGGAAGAGATGATGATGATGATGATGACAAGCATGATGACGATGATGAAGGCGATGACTATGATGACAATCATCATCGTAGCGTCCTCTGCGTTACCAAAGCTGCGGATGACTGTCACGATAACTATCATCGTAGCATCCTCTGCATTACCAAGGATGCCTAACGCCACATTTCAATTGTACAGAGAAGAAAGATAGAAGAAACTCATGATGACGATGATGAAGGCGATGACTATGATGACAACCATCATGAAGATGATAAGGATGATGACTCATCGTAGCATCCTCTGC